CCTCGTAGGCCATGTGTTTGGTTTTTATAGGAAAGGACATTTCATTTTTTTAAATTACTAACAATATGGCTCAGTGCCCATAGCACAGTGGTTATGGTGCCAGCCACATACACCAAGGCTGGCAGGGTCAAACCTGGCCCTAGCAGCTAAAACTGCAGCAAATAAATAAATAGCCAGGCATTGTGGCAGGCGCCTGTAGTCTCAGCTACTTGGGAGGCTGAGGCAAGAGAATCACTTAAGCCCAAGAGTTCAAGTTTGCCGTGAGCTGTGACACCATCACACTCTACTGAGGGCAACATAGTGAGACTCCGTCTCAACAACAAAAAAATTACTAATGGTATGAACAAAGGGAAGTAATAATTAGGTAAATCCTATTTTCCTCCAAATTTCTACATCAAAATCAGATATGCTCATTTGGGGTGGGGGGTGGGGAGTTTCCTAGTTGGGAACATAAACGGGTTAAGATGGGAGCCAGCCTCTTATAGACTGGGAGTACTCCACAGTTGACATTTCATCAGGCATGATTAAATGCCCCATTTAAGTTCAGGATTTACACTTTCTCTGTATGGTAAGATTTCTTTTCCAAACTGTAACAGAAACATCATATGGCAACTGTTCCTTATCTTACCATCACTTATCAAGCAACCTCAACTGTCTCTAGAGGCAAGGAACAACCTAACAGTTGACAGGAATACTCACAGTGCAGCTCACATAGCTTTGTGGTCCTAGCCAATCAGCTCCAACAAAAAAGAGTAGCTAGAAAGACATTAAAGTAGACATTAAAAAACAAAACACCCTGAACAACTGAAAAGTACAAACATCCAGACCATTTAACTTCCAGCAGAAGGGACCCTACTACAACAGATATTACTGATAAGCTGAATTTACCAGAGAAATTTGATAGGGTTTATTACATTTGAGGGAAAACTTTAAAAACAAAACGCTTTGCAGTTAAACTATCTGGAAAGTAAAACTTAAGCTGAAACCCTTGTGACTAAACAAGATGGACAAATGAGAGACTGTTTTACATGCGAAGTCCTCAAACTTTCACGCAAAGTTGCTGAAAGTTAAGGCAGTGTGCTATCAATAAAGGACTAATAGATTAATCTACAAAAAAGGCCAGTGCTAGTAGGTCCAAACTACCCAGCCACAGAAGCAGACCAAATAGGATGGGTTTAAAAAACAAACTTTATTCCAAACTATTATCCAAAAAAGTAGTTAACTCGGAAACATTTAACAGATTTAATTCATACAGACACAAAACTCAAAATATCAAACAAAAATAGCTTTTATGTGCTAACCACTTTTAAAAATGAAACTTTTAAGAGGAAACATGTACAGACTCCCACATAATCTGGAAGCCATTAGGCAACAAATATTTAATATTAAGCAAAAAGCACTAAAAATACTCAAATTTAGAGAGAATGCCTGTTCAAGTCTTTGATATGCATTGATTTACTCATGAGAAAACAAATGTTTTTGTAATCTGAAAACAGAAATGTTTTAATTTTAAAAGGAACCCTGTCCGAATGCTCTTTCTTCACACTAATCTCTCTACCCTTCATTTAATGCCTCTCTCTCTATCATACATTTTAGTTCAACACAATTGGGTTCACTCAAGGAAGCCCTCTAGATCCCACTTCATGGATCCCATCTACTAACATCATTCCCTACATGTTTGCATAGCCTTATACCAACTATTACCATGGGAAGTGAGCTTGGGAATTTCAGGTATTCACAGGTAACTATATATACACAATTCTGTTTCACTGCACAGTTCACGATATATAGCAGGTGATTATAGCGCCAACCATAAGATGAGTATCAATTATTTAGACAAAACATCGACTTCATCACAAACCACAAATGAAACAAGACAAATTTTCCTCCATGTAAGGTTGTGTTTACTCTGGTGCAGTCCTGAGGGCTCACACCACTCCCAGCGTGTTAAGCAGTGTCTATATAACATTTCTGTTGGCATCAGACAAAATGACACAAGACAGGAAGTGTCTTGCACTCAGGAGCTGTTTGTGCCACATATGTAACAGAAAGGCCACTTCTAAGCTTTTCAGATATTCAATCATGTTTGTCTTTTCCAAATTACCACAGTAATTCATGTCGAAGGTAAAAACAATAGAATTTCTTAACACATTTTCACTTGAAGTTCAAAGTTGTGGGTTACAAGTTCTGTTCAATTTTTTGTCCAATTTGAGAAGTCTATAGGACAACACAAAACCATCCCTGGTAATGTATTTGCAGTTTGGTCTTCAAAAGCTGTAAAAAGTGACAAATTGAAAACAAAAATACTAAGTTAAAACTATTAAAAATATTAATAATTGTTTTTAAACGCCACTTATTTGAGACAGCAGAAACCAAAGCATTTTCCTTAGAATTCTTACTTTACTCATATTTCACAAAAGCACTTTAGAACATGGATTTCTGCCACCTGCACGGAGTGTAAAGACAAAAGCAAGCCCAGCAGAAGGCGGCCCAATGGAGTCCACTCAGGCTCACTGCCTGGTAGTGAGGAGCTGGACATGCCTATGAGTGCTCAGGGTTGCACCTGTGATATGGGGGAAGGGGCGGTCAGGCACCAAGGTGCCTTCTTGGTTTCTGAAACTCAATTCCCTTCAAATCCTGACTCTGTAATAGGGCAAAAGATACTACTCACATTTATTTGGTATCAGATTCTTTTTTCTGAAATCCTTATATCTGCACCTTGATCTCCAATAAGCTGTCAAGTAGAGCTGCTGTATAGCTATTTAGCTTCTAGCTCTAGCTAATACTTAATACGCTTGCTAATCCTTCACTGTTGGAAGGATCTTCACTTTATTTAACCAGCCACACTGCACTTAGAGGTAAAGAGTGTTTTTGGACTATTTGCCCAGAAATTTCGAGTGAACTACCAGTTGAGGCTCTGATCTTATTTTGGTCAGTATGTGCAGATTCACATGCAATAACTCACAAAGATGAAATACTAGTTAACAAGAAACTCACCAACTGTCATGTCAGAGGTAGAAATCAACCTTAAATGTGGAATATTTACAGATAGTGGCTTTTAAAAAATTCCCAAATCACTTTTCCAGGCTATTTCTTATATTTCATAAATTATTCAATTAGTGGGTGAGTCATTTTGCCGTATCTAGAAAAAATATTTTAACATTTTCTGATTCCTGTGACAAATTTTTCTTACGTAGGGGATGAATATTTGCTATCTGGCTATTACCAACTTCTTAAATTCAAAATACCTCTCAAATATCTTTGGAACATATGCTTTCAAACCACCTTACTGTTTAAAGGACACAGTGGTAAAACTGGATTCCCAAAATGTCAAAATCCTCAAGTCTATTTCCAAGAGCGAAAGACAGCTAATAATGTGGAATAAAAACTATCCTGAGCCTTTCCCCTCTTCCTCTGTACATTTAGAAATCAGAAAAGAAAAAAAAAATTAATGGCTCGGCGCCTGTGGCTCAAGTGGCTAAGGCACCAGCCACATACACC